TCGAGGAAACTGCTGTGTTGTTCGTTGATTGCCGTGCTAATTTACGTTCTTGTGTTAATTACATATAATGTGTATGTAGTAAGTTATATAGTCAGCAACTTCCTAGTACCCAATATTTTAAGCATAAATCATTTAATCATACATTTAATTAAATTTTCTATCTAAGTGGCTATTCGTACTCTCGTCCCTACTTTTCAAGGTAACCACGGAAGACCAGCGTCGGACAGTCTACGACATCCGACACATGCTGACTGGACTGCCTTTTTAGTGACGCAAATGTTTAGACCTAATTTATTGTATTTATGCATAAGCAGAGATGTGATTTATTTGAAATACTTCTATTTTAAATGCAAATAGAAAATGCAAAATACCTATTTTATATTTTGTATTTAAATACCTTTCAGTGAAAAGTATTTTGTATTTTATTTGAAATGCCTTTCGAGATGCATTTTGTATTTTTAATATTAATTTCAAAATGCAAAATACTTTCGTGATTAAGTTTAGCCAACATTACCAGTCAAACAAAACAAAACGCTTGTATTGCCGAATTCGACCGATAGAGGCGCCTGCTAACCATGCGCGACATTTTTTTCTTCTTTGGTCAAAGTGCGCACCTTATGTCAAGTAATGTCTGACAAGTGTCAATTTCTAACGAAAACGGCGAACATTATCTATGGCTATGAATTTATGGATATGAAACGCATAGCCGTTGACACCGACGATTTGATTTCACGACGAGTTTATTATTTTCTGGTGCTAGTGAAGTAGTTACTGATTTGATTACCTACTTCTCTGATATTGAAGTGTTGTTATTATTTCTATAATACTGAAACGGTTATGCACTATACCTGGAACGGTTACGTACTACAAGATAATTTAGATAATCTAAATAGACGTGACTTGGTGGATTTGGCTGGTGTCTAACAATTTCTACCCGAAGTTTGTCCAGTTTATTGCGCACCGTTAATTGAAATAATAAAGGAAAGTATTCAAAATCGTTTCGAAAAATTTGATTTAGATAACCCAAGATCCAAGGACAGCATTCTGGCAGCAATATCGTATCCATTTTTCAAATTAAAGTGGGTGCCTAAAAATAAGAAGGAGCATCTTAGGGAGCTGTTTATCCAGGAAGTCAGGAAATTTAAAAATGAAAATTTAAAAAGCTGCCTCCTATCACAGACATCGGAAAGAAAAAGAGAAAAAAGTGAGTCTTATTACATGTTCCAGGATTCAGATTACTCGGCAACCAGTGAGGGTGGTAGTGCTAATAATACTACAATAGATCTGGAAAGCCTGCAATATTTAAAGGATGAGAGCACAAGTCTGGAGATGCTAAATGCTTATCCTACAGTAAAAAAAGTATTTTTTAAATAAAACACATTCTTACCAAGTTCAGCACCAGTAGAAAGACTTTTTTCGTATGGTGGGATGATAATGAGACCTCACAGAAGAAAAATGAGTGATGATGTATTCGAACAACTGGTATTGTTAAAAAGCGTAATAAATAAACAATGATATTTATTTTTATCACTTTTTAACAATACCAGTCCAGTTCCAGTTGTTATTAGTTTTAATAAGAAAAGTGTAATCATATGTAATATGTTATTAGACGTTTGTTTTTCGGCTCGGCATTGTGTGTCTCTATTGCTCATGTATGATAAGTAAATATGTACCTATAATAAATAAAAATATCTGTGATTTGGTCAGGGGGTATTTTATTTTGAAAAGTATTTTGAAAATACCTATTTTGCATTTAGCATTTGAAATACAAAACGCAAAACTATTTAGTATTTTGCATTTGAAATAGTAAATCTGAAAAGTATTTTGCATTTCGTATTTAAATGCTTTTTTAAAACCATTTTGTACATCTCTGTGCATAAGGTATATTGTTTTAATTAAGGTTTATTGTTTCATGCAGGGCCGTGCCTGACGGGCGTTCATTGCGTGCACCGCACGCAGGCGGCCGAAATTAAGAGGCGGCCAAATCGTTACAAGTTGTTTACTGGGCAAAAATACAATCGGTTTTTTCCCTAATTAACCGGTAACCTAACCGAAATAATTTTATGAAACCGGTTAATTAACCAAAAACCTTTACTATTTTCAATATCAATAAATAATACGTAAGATTTGATTTTTTAAAATCAAATAATTTTAAATTGTCACTGAGCGACACCTAGGATTTTAAATTATCGTATTCCTATGTTCTTTATGTTTGATAATTTTGTCTGTGATTATAATACCAATACCATAATTACTTTTTTTCATGTTATTATTAAAGTAAGTAAATTTATTCTATTTTGTATACCTCCCAAGTTGCAAGTCAGCCCAGATCTGCCATTGGCCACTGAGCTTTGTTATCCTAATATGTTAGTATAGATTTAAGGGTTATTCCTTGTTCTTTATGTTTGATAATTTTGTCTGTGATTATAAAACCAATACCATAATTTTTTTCATGTTATTATTTTTGTTTAAATTTTAAATAAAAAAATGTTTATTTTGTGCATTTTTTTTTCTTAAATTTCATCCAAACATATAAATCTCATAAAACCGGTTTTTAGCCGGTTTTTCTTTTCAGAAACCGGTTTTGGGAACAAAACCAATATTTTTTTTCGTTCTCGATTTCGGTTAACCAAAAACTGATTTTTTCCCCGGTTTGATGCCCTGTGTATAATAATAAACATTAAAAATTAAAGTGGTTTTTTTTAATGTTATCCTGGGGGCGGCCATACAGACTGGCACGCAGGCGGCCATATACCCAGGCACGGCCCTGGTTTCATGTACTAATTTGTGTCACTAAATAAAACATTTTCTTTCTTTCTTTTTTTAATGCCTAAGGTCCATTCTATTATGTGACCGCTAACACAAAGCGGTCACATATTGTGCTTAGTATTTCACTAATACTACTTATCAATTTCTATAATTCTATATACCTAGCTATCTATAATATTTCTGTAATAGGTTCTTATTTATGTTGATCGAAGGGGCCCTATTTAAGTTTAGGGAAATGCCTCCAGATAAGTGAGAGACGAGGTTATGTGGGACTCTTCCTCCCCCAAATCCCGCACACTCACTCAGCTAGCCCAAGGGCCCGGCTCCGTGGACTTTTGGGACAAGGTGGGGACCTTTCCGCTTAAAACCTTCGTCTGTCGAAATGTGTATCGTGGGATTCAAACACTCTCCACGGTTACCCCCGGCAGAGGTTTCTCCTCTTACTTGCCGGTCCGGGGATACCTGGGAGCACCGGGGCATCCCTTCCAGACGGGTGAAACCGTGCAAGGTGACAGACCACCCAAGACTGCCACCCGCTAGTCTGTCTGAACAAACAGGACGTGCCCTCTACTACAATTTGTAAAACCATGCCTTTACTTTAAAAAGTCACGGAATCCAGTTGGCTTATTTATTTAAAATTCTGTAAAAAGCACAAATGTTTCTTCGTAATTTATAATTTGTTGAAATAGTTATAAGTACTAGCACTTATTATAGACCTAATAACAATAGTTGGTAATTATAATTTTATAGGTAAGTACATCGTGCAGTATCTACAGCTAGTTCGCAACAAGAGTAAACTAATTTATTATACTTATTCGAATCATTAAAAATAGGAGACATTGTGATGATATGTGTAGGTTACAATAACAAACATGCTGCTGATTTTAATTGAGTATATATAGGTAAATATTGTTTTGAATGATAATTACAAAACTCTTAATAAATCTGCTGTTTCAAACGATCAACCAAAATATAATATATTTTGTTTGTAATGTTGACAGCTCCGTAATCATATCATCATCGTAAAATTTTGAATGCAAGGAGCCAGTTTGTTCTATCATCTGGTAAGGTCGCTGCTTGAAACTTTTTTCTTAGAAACTTTGTCGATGCTATACGATTACGGAGTTGTCAAAATTCGTGCTTGTGCCCCAATTTCCTAACCTCCTCAACTAACTGACTTCCATAAATAAGCAGATCCCTATGATCGAATATTCATTCATGTAAAACTATCAGTTGAGTAGAAGTGAGCTTGTTAGCTTTAATTACTAGGTAGCGACCAGTTTTATTAATTAACCTCCAGTAAAAGGCAATTATAATCCGATTCTTAGTAACTGTCAACAATATAATAACAAAATAACAGCAACAAAGCTCTCATAGGCCTATCTTTTACTTTATTAAAGAAATAAATAAATATTATTAAAATGTATAGAAATACATAGAATATTATTATTAAAACTGGCGGTTAGAAACTAACAAAATCAATCACTTACAACCACGTAACGTTAAGAAGCTCTAAAACTTTAGTAAATGAAACTTACTAAGATTATTTCTATAATTTCTTACTCCTATTATCTACGTCGGTCAATGATTTATACTTATGATGATCTGCTATTGGAATAGTTACATAATGTAGGTACCAATATGTATGTCGTTATGTATCATCTATTATAATAGGCGTGCACTTTGGATAAGGCATTTAAAGCAATCAACTGAACGCATTTATTAACGAACAAGTTGAGTCTAGGTTGAATGGAAAACTTTGTCCACACCACAGCGACTGTATTAGTCATAAGAATTGCAATCTATCAAACATCAAATAACAAACAATATCTTTTTCCACGCAAACACCTAAAAATTACGAGGAATCGTATAATCACACTTTGTAGGAAAATATGAAAATAAAAGATTGTTTGATTCGTAAGTACTTGACTAATTTAATTTCTAATTCCTTTGAACACTTCAAAATGTGTGCTTGGCCCATAAAATTGGTAAATAAGCTGCATTATTAACGATGACCATAAAATTTAACTTCATTGGTACTAAATACATATTATTTTTTAATAGACATCAATATCTAAAACAAAGCACGGATAGGTACAAACTTTTTATCACAGCTACAATAACGTGTGCGTAGTGTAGTACTGGTTCTTCGTGCTATGAAACGTCTGATTCACTCATCATATTAAAGTCAGTGTTTATTATTAAACTTTATCAGTTTTATGAGAAACGTATCCAGTGAATGCAGTGTTTTGATTAGATTTCATTTTTCAATTGATGTGCAACTAATACAATCAAATGGCAAATAAAGTGTTGAAGAAATCTAAATTGAAAAAGGATGGCGATTTTATTCCTCCCGATGGCGGTTGGGGGTGGATGATCATATTTGCTGCTGGATTTTCAAATGTAAATATGAAATTTTATTTTTATTTATTTTAATCGTATTTAAAATTTAAACCACAAACTATTTGACTCGGCTAAGTTACATAAACTTGGACACGAACCAGCGTCTTTCGTAATCCGGGCGAATACACCTCTTTTCACAAAAATTTTCTTAGTAAACATTTTCTTAAGACCAAAAGAGCAAGCAGGTTGTTGTATATAAAAAAAATACTGAAACATTTATTTAATTACTTTAATATAAGATTGCAAAGCGAATGTTATTAAAATATAAAATGAAAATATTAAGCTTAAGGAATTTCAAAATTACCGTTTCAAAGATTTTTTTTACTTCACACATAGACAGCAGATATCAGATTATACAACTCTGATAAAATGTAACTTATAATACCTATCTATTAAATATATTTAATAAAGCAGCTATATGTTAAAGTGAAATGTGTCATATATGATTCATTTTGACATTGTTGTATTTAACTCATAAAACCAATCTAGAACTCATAACTCAATAGAGAAGTACACTATTCGTAACTAAAATATAATGTAAAGTTAGTTCTAAAGAATAGTAAGTATTTAGAAATTATATATTTTTTCAGTAAGTAATAAGTAATGGTTAGGAAGTATTATTGAACTAGATAGTCATTGTTTTATACAACAAGCTAAACGTCAATTTAGGTGGTCGAAAAATAATGCAGTAATAACTCACGTGATAAACTGATAACAATAAGGATTTTAAGATATATTTATGAATCGCTCGTATTGGAACGCCTTTGAGGATAATAATAGGTAAGTAGTTTCCTCTTCAAATCTGGTATAGTTAATAAGAAACCCCTTCTCACTTCTGTAAGGCCTAGAAACTTAGAAAAAAAATCTACACTGTGATGAGTCAAAGAATTAGAGCCCACCATATATTTTTTACGCAATAATGTACGGGAACGACCGCCAGTCATCACTGAACATTTCTTCGCATTGAAATATAGTTTATTTTTGGACTTTTTAGTCGACTACTTGACTTGGTATATCATTTCGCAAACGCACATAGTCGTCATCGTTATGCACAGAAAAGAATAGCTTTAGGTCATCGGCGTACAAAAGGCATCCAGCGCCTTTGACTACTTCAGGCAAGTTGTTTATGATATAAACCGGCTACAATGGATTCTGAAAGTCTCTCACTCACTATTGTTATTTGTTGACAAATAAAAAAATGTCTGCGCAAATGTAATAATGTGTCAGACAGGCATCTCTGTCATACTTTGAAGCACACATTTTGATGAATTTACATAAAGGGATGGAGAGGACATTGGTGAAACACGTACCTAGTCTTCTATTTGTCCCGAAAATAAAACTTAAAGGAAACCGTGGATAAGTGAGTGCGTACTCTGCGTAAGGGTAATCAACCATTTAAAAAAATCGCAGCTACGAGTACCTACTATTTTTTCCATGACAATAGTTTGCGCAATAATCTATAAAGTTTCCGTTCAAATTTCCCACTAATTGGTCTGATAAGAGATATCATTGCATCAATCGCCAATATCAAAAGTTACATAATATGATAATATGCATTTTTGCAGTAAGTATTTCATTTACCTATTGAAATCAGATCTTATACTTATTTAAAAATAGTTACCAGGCAATTATTTCTTAAATGGCAAAAGTGCTAGCAGAACTTGCTGAAGTTGTTGTAATTAAAGATACCAAATATCTTCCTAATCAGATAATTCCTTATCTTAATCACAAGTGTTGTATATAATTTTAACATATTAATATAGATATACTATATTTATAGTCCTAAAACAGTTATCAGGCTTAATTGATTTTCAGAAGTACCTTTGATCAATATAGGTCACTGGGCCATAAATATTTCTCTTGAATTCCAAAAATTTAAAAGTCTAGCTGACCCGTCGAACTTTGCACCGCTTACAATCGGAGAGAAGCTGAATTTAGAGAATTTAATAACAAAATAGAAATGCAATATGTAGTTTATGATGGTAAGCTTTTATTAAAAAAAACTAAAATTAAAATCTAAAATGTCTTTAATCTTTTATTTATATGACTTGTCAGCAAGATATTTAACTGTTTTGCTGCAAGGCGTTGCAATCGAATTGATTTGAATTAGTGAAGCACCTTGTGAATTGTGAAATTCTGGATGGTTTGCTGACATGTGAATACCACGTAAAAATTAATTTTCTAAATGCAGGAAAATAAACTCAAGAATACGTCACGGTGTATGCAAGATGGGACTGAAAATTTAAACTGAAAGGGTCACAGGTCGTTTCGGATCGGGTTCATCAGAATCCTCAAAATAAGAACTTGCTTGCCCTTGAATTTTCAAGTTTTGTCGCGTGAAACATACAGTTTTCTTATCACCAAACGTGTTCCATTACGTCGATTGTTTTTAAATTTCGAAGCATGATCACCACCGAGCTAATCGTCAGTTTTAAATATTGCAGTGTTAAGCTAGACACCTAAAGGATCAATAATAGAGTTCAAAAGTCACTCAGATAGGAGTTGGCTACGCCTCCGTTTGTTTCTGTTACTTTCAAATAAATCTTTTATACAAACTTTGCCCTTAGAATAACAAACACAATAAAAAAATATCCAATTTGGTGCAGGAGTTCGGAAGATATGCGATTACCTACATATTTTTCGGCGTTTTTTTTTGTTGATTTTCTAAGCACACAAGTTGATAACAAATGCCAAACTATTACAATAGTTTGTAGGCAGAGTTCCCGCGGATAATGAATAATTACAAATTAAAGAAAATATAACTAGAAATATCCACGCGGACCAGGCAGCAGACGGGACTCGAACCTTTCGCAATCCGGGCGAATGCACTGAGCAATTATTACCAATACCAACTACTGCTGCCTGGTCCACGTGGAATTTTTTTGTGTTAGATTTTCTTTAGATTTAAACATCAAGCAGTTACATGCTTTAAAAAAATAAAAATTATAATTACAAATTACTTATAATGTATTGTAAAGATATTTTTAAACATTACAATGAACAATTTATTTTTCATTTCTCATTCTCGGAAAGTGGTGTTGTTTTGATCTGTTTGTTGGGTGGAAAATGCTGCTTCCCTCTCTAGAGAGGGAAAAACTCATACAAATTACTTCCCGCCTAAGGGCCGGAATGAACTTTAAAAATAGAACTACTGTCAGGCGTGAAGTTTTTTGTAAAAAAAAATGCTGCCGCCATGTGAGTTTCTAAACAGCCAGTGTGAACTTAGCACAAACTTCTTTGAGCGGAATAAGCCGCAACAATTACGCTGTTCCATATTTAAATTTAAAAAGTCGACAATAATTGGCGGGATCCTAAACTGTTATGCATCTGTTATGTGATGGAATAAAAAAAATAGTAATAATAATCTTGTAAGTAAAACAGAGCAATCCAACTTTGAATATTAAAAATGAGTTCAAGCGATTCAGAAATGTTGACACCGGATTCAATGAAAGACGAAGCAAATTGTGTTATAGAGAATATTTTGCCAGAAATGTTAAAAAAGAGATATATAAATACATACAATGATTTTATAAAGTGGTGAGCAGAGAAGAATATAAAATCGTTTTCCGAAAGTGTATTTCTTACATATTTTAATGGACTGTCTAGCAAACTACAGACTCCTACAATTCGCCTCAGCAGACAACTTCCAGGGAGTATCCGCCATGGAATCCATCGTTTGATGAAATAACAGAGTGTCCTACTTTTACAGATATCCAAAACAGCCAAATTTGTAATAGTATATCAAACAGCATAGTTTCAAACAAGAATGTTACTTTTAATTTCAGTAATTCCTAATATGATAATTAATTTTAAATAGCTACTTCTAATTTTATGGTATATATATAACTATTTATGAATAAATATTTTTGTTAAACAACTAGTTTTATTTTCCTCATATTCGAAATGAAAAGTACAGTGTTTAACTCGGGTAAAAGAATCAATTCCTACTCGGACTATAGCCGCCCTCGCTGCGCTCGGGCGTCTAAATACCTCGGGAATTGATTCTTTCCACCCTCGGTTAACAATCTACTATTACCTTACATAATATAGCATCAACAATGCTCTGTCCACAACACGAAACATGCATGCGTATATTATATGCTACTAATCTTATAGATGCGGAAGTTTGTATAGATGTTTATTGTTTAGGAAGATTACGTAATTTCTTTCTTAGATTTTAGCGCACACCACTTCAAATTTATTTAAAAATAAAATCATTATTCAGAATACGCATCCTATAAAGGATGCGAAACGTCAATCTATATATATAAAACTCAAAGGTGACTGACTGACATAGTGATCTATCAACGCACAGCCCAAACCACTGGACGGATCGGGCTGAAATTTGGCATACAGGTAGATGTTATGACGTAGGCATCCGCTAAGAAAGGATTTTGATCAATTCTAACCCGAAGCGAAGCGAGGGCGGGCCACTAGTAAATAAATAAATCAGTACATCTATATCGTTGAAACTTGTTTTATTTAAGATTAGTGACCCGCCCTCGCTTCGCTTCGGTGTAGAGCTGTAGTGTGTATAGTTATTGTTCTCAGGCTTGTGCGTAAACAATGACTTTATTTATATAATTACACGTGTTATTGTGAGTCAACCATTAAAGATAAACATATGCTGTGGCAGGATATTTTTTAGCCAATTTTATGTAGAATATTTCCGTCATACATGATTTCTATGTAACTTTAACCATTAAGGCTGCACACGCGACGGAAGCTTAAAAAATGGAGTAACTTCTCCCGTTTTCCCAACATTTCCCTTCACTACTCTGCTGCTATTGATTGTAGCGTGATGAAAAGTATACTATAACCTGCCCAGGAGTATGAAGAATAATTGTACCAAGTTTCGTTAATATCTGTCGAGTAGTTTTTGTTTCTATAAGGAACATACCCACAGACAGACAGACAGACAAAAATTTTACTAATTGCATTTTTGGCATCAGTATCGACCACTAAACATTTATTATTTTTTATTTAAAGAGAAGTAGGTAATTGGGTATATGCCTACTAATCCCTGCCCTAAAAGGCGGACTTTATTCATATTATATCAGTTAGATAATGTAACTCACTTCAGCCAGACTACAGATAATTTTAATAGGTACTTATTCAAAGGAACATGAGATTACTTGTGTGATATGATAAAATACCAGTAAATATGTTAAGGTCATAAAAATTGCAAGAAATTGTCAAATTGTCGATATTATTTTGTAAAAAATATTCATCTGCTAAATAAATGACGTCCAAAAAAAATACATGTTGGGATTTACTTGAGCCGTCAGAATAAATTAAAAGGGGCAACCTTGCACCTTGTGAAGTACACTCACCATACCTGAGCCTTTTTAAAGGGTCAAACGTCTAGACTTAGAGCAGCAAAAAAATATCAACAATCGGTCATGAGTTGTTGATCGCGTCATTTAGACGTCAGTCTTTTAAATAGGAGCTACTACGTGAACCCGTATCGAGTTCTACTACCGCGCTCAAGTAAATCCCAAAATCCCCGTGTCGGTCTCCTACTATTAAGATGATAATAATGTCGGTAAATGCAAACATTTTTCTACGAGTTTTGATTTGCATTTCATTAAACTTAATAAATTTACTGAAAATTGTAATTATCTTCTGCAGAAAGACTATTCTTATTCATATAGGTACAACTTCTACAATTATATTATAATCTCTTTAATAAAGATAACTTATTAGACTAATAGAATGATAGGAATTTCTAACTACAAACATTCCTTCCTAATTCAAATAACAAAATAATTGGTATGTATTACGAATCGTGGATTATAGTTTCTAGGAAGAATAATAAAAGTCTACAACGCTATTGATTACGAGAAACACTTCCATCTATGAAAGTTTTAAAAGTTTTCGAGTTAGTCTGAAATCATAACTGAAAATTAGCAATGTAATAAAAGATATCTGTCTTCAGGAATTATTATCCAGTCATGACTGGTTCCTATCAAACAGACCATATTTATAGTCTTTGAAATGAAAAAAACAATGTTTTTCAGCTGTCAGCTCTACCTATCCTACAGCAATTTGGGCTATTGTTCCGTGACAAGTTTGCGCGTCTGGGTATAAGCAGCTCTGAAACCACCACTATTATCAACATGAATTCGGCCCTGACCTCTTGCGTCGGTGCGTGACGCGAGTAGCACGGTAACTCTTTGATACCATACCGCCCCTTTAGTTACTATTTGCAAAATTGTTTCTTCAATTACCATGTTATTCAAAATACTATTACTAGCTTTAAGATCATATCCTATATAATAAAAAATAGTTATATCTGTATACTATGTATATGTAACTAAAAATTTTTGCTCTATCAATCTTTTGCTCTGGGACGGTACTCATGATTTAAGACATCAACAAATAATCTCTTGACCAAAAAAACCTTGATGTTAGTATTATAATCATAGTTTTTTTTCTTTCTTACAGGTTTAGCCAACGGTCCAGTTTTTAAAACATTCAGCTATCGCCAGGTCTCACTTACCGGTGCCATTGTGGTCTTTACAGCATTGATGCTCACAACATTTTCTTACAATTTTATCACTTACCTAATTTCATTTTCAATTTTATATGGTAAATAAACTTTTAATACAAAATTAACACTTATCATGTATACATTACATTCTCCACTAATAACTCTTTGTTATACTTCTAGGTGCCGGCTACGGTATTAGTAGTTCTGCAAATGCTCTTGCATTGAATACTTATTGGAAGAAGAGGAGAAGATTAGCTACAAGTCTCTCATGGACTACAACAGGTCTTGGCCCAATGATGTGGCCTCATATTATTACAGGTTTATTTGCCGTTTTTGGAGAAACCGGAGCTATACTCATTATAGCAGGAATATCCCTTCACGCTATAGCTTGTGCTTTATTATTACAACCAGTAGAGTGGCATTGCAAACAGCAGGCCGAAAAAGAAACAGATGAGGAAAAACTCATCACATCCGAGATAAATGGTAATGTTATTGATAAGGAAACAAAAGAAAGTGGTTATTTTAGTCATGTATCAAAATTAAAAAACTTAAGCACATTCTCTAGTCAATATCTCTATAATGAAGATGATACCTTCACACCCGGCTATGAAATCACTGATCCTGGAATACCTATGATGATTCGCGCTAATGATGGCTACTTTAGTCAGTCAAGGCAATCTCGAAGTAGAGTTTCCTCAAGAGAAGGGTCTAACAGAAACTCACGTCTGAACTCTAAAAAGCCATCAATGACAAATTTAGTTGAAGGTAGATCTCGGAAATCTTCTACACTCTACTTAAATGAATCCAAGAAAAATTCCTCTGCTAATCTTGGAGCTCTTGTTCAAGAACGTGAAAATTATAAACCAAAACGAAAAACATCCATTACTTTAGATGCGCAAATTCCTGAATCAGAAATCGAAGACTGCCCTACATTAAAAGCTCCCCAAGATTTAAAAGCTGATGAGAAGGAAGTAGTTCAAAACATTGACCCCGAAAAAGCAAAAATTATTGCTGATAGAGCAGAGAAACACTTAGCAGCAAACAAAAGTATTAAATCCTTTAAAATGGATGGAAATTATGGAGAAAAATATATGAAGGATAACCATAGCAATATATCATTTAAAAATACGGATGATTATGATGAGAAAAAATACTTGAAAGATAATCATAGTAATCAATCTACAAGAGCACGATATAGAAAAAAATCTAACAATTTTAATTACGAAAGTGAAGTTTTGAAACAAGCTTCAATGAAACTAGAAGAGTACCTTAAAGAAAATGAGGAAGAAAATAGAGCTGCAAAAATAAGATTACTGATAAACGGACCATCAGATGATGAAGACGACGATGTATTCAAAGAACATAAAGTAAAAGAAAAAGAAATTGAAGAACAAGAAGAACATTTAACATTTTGTCAAAAAGTTGCAATTTTCTTCGATTTAGATTTATTAAAGGACTTCACTTTTATTAATCTAATGTTAGGAATTACGTTGGCAAATTTCAACGAACTGAATTTCTCAATACTAACACCGTTTATCTTAGGTGACTACGGTATGACCAAATCTGAAGTAGCCTTCTTCATGTCACTTTTGGCCGGTGTAGATCTTTGTGTCAGATTCTGTATTCCATTTGTAGCTGGAAAAATAGGATGGGACAACAATTCGTTTTTCCTGTTTGGAGTTCTTTCTATGGCCATGGGTCGAGTTGGTAAGAAACATAATATAATTTATTAATATAGTTTTTTTTTTATTATATAATTTATTAATATACAATTCTTTTGTATTGGTTCGGGGTAATAAACAAGTTTTCCTTTTACAGTGCTCTCTTTATGCCAGAAGTATCAAGTTGTTCTGCTAGTTGCTGTAATGATAGGTTTTGGCAAAGGATTGAGAACAGTATTTATGGCATTGGTGATACCAACCCATGTACCATTACACAAACTACCGGGAGCTTCGGGGATACAATTACTTACCGCTGGAATTGTTTACCTTGTAATGGGCCCAATAGTTGGTAAGAATAATTCGAATTTATGAAATCGTTTTAGTATATTTCTAGTTCTTTTATGTATCATTACTTTAACCATCCATTTAGGAGAAATAATTGTTTGTTTTTCAGTATAGATAAGATAAATACTTAGGGTTAAGAGAGCGTGTGACGCTCTTTTAGCCCTAAGAATTTGCATGTAATGATATAGTCAACTCACACCTATGAAGGTATGAGGTGACACTATCGGCTACATTCATAGACGTCTATTATATTTAACGCTTTGTGATGGCACTCGTAATCGTATTCTGTTGTTAATGCAAAAGAGTCAAAATTATAATTTTAATCGAACTTAAAACTTATTGAGGAGCTCGATTACGTAGGTACCTTGTTTTTCATGGATAGCTTATTCTCCCTACCACTTCCACCAAGGCTCAATCTCTTAATGTCTCTTCTGCCAGGACACAGACAGTGGAGACATTATGAGATTAATAAAAGTGTTGTTCGTTGCATCACATGCCTACCCGGATTCTTCGGAAAATGAATTATGATATGATATGGTATTCATCAGATGAATTGCAACGTTGAATAACGTCCTTGATGTGGGCCAATTGTGTAACTCTTTCGCTTACCCCTTCAAAGCATAAGAAAAATTTCAGTGTGATATAATACATATTTTTTTCCGAATTAAAAAATATCTATATAACTAAATATCTATCTTTGCGTTGTTCCTATTTTCTGCATTAGGTGCCTGATTGTTACTACGCCAGGCAAATTTGTTAAAAATTTAATGATTACAACGACAATAGCTGTCTTTATATTAAATTGTGAAAGTTCTAATTCTGTTTTATTTTATCCAGGGTGGATAAAAGACAACGCTTCCACGGCGGTAACATTGCATTGTCTGAATATATTCACATGGCTCACGGCGTTGTCATGGGGCCTAGAAAAATATATCAGATCAAAACGGCCGACCAATACACAGGAAGAAATTGTAAAAGCTTGAAGAGGTGAATGAAAAAGGAAGAACATTTATATATATATTTAAAGAATATATATAAGTCCTGGATGGATTTAAGCTTCAGCTATAAACACTAGAAAATATACCCTATATTAAATACTTTATAGATTTAACACCAGCGGCCAAAGGGAAACTTTTTCTTTAGGAAAGAGATTTTTTTAATCTTATTTATTTAGAGGTTTTAACCAATATAAAGGATATGCCAGCACCATCATATCCTAATTTTATAAATTACAAAATTATTATAAGAACAATGAAGATTCATTGTTGCAATAAATATTTATAAGGCTTTTGAATACTTCCGACTGCGGATCTGCGATAAGATGAGATGAATGAATGATATTTGTTAAATGACTACCAATTCTTTTCTTTAAATTGCAGAGCAAAGCGAAGATACTCAATGTTACAATTATCCCCTGTTTGGATTAAAAATGCTGATGTATGTTATGGGTAGTTTTTCGTAATTTTATTCTTCGACTGATTCTTCTGGCATAAGTTTAATTTCACTTTGAGCTCTGTAGCAGATGCTTATACGAAAATAAGTATACTAAAGAATATATAGTTAAATGAGGGACTCGTTTTTGTGAATTAGTTTTACTCGAATTTTCAATAGGTAAATAATTTTCTTTAGCCAAAGTTGAACAAATATTACTCTTAAACTAACAAATCAATCTTAACCGTTATAGTTTTTCTTAAAAGTTCATAAAAAGCACTATTATCATGAATTTTTCCAGGTTTTTCAAGCCAGTAGTTTAGCTTTTAGGGGGGGACGCCCTACTCGAACAAAAATTAGCCCTTTAAAGTTCAATATTTCGCAAACGGAAAAATCGAAAAATAGTCTCAGAAACCCCGAAGTCATTTTAAAGGACCTATTTAACGATATCCCACACGACCCAATAGCTCTTCTTCTTTGATAACTAAAAAAAACTTGCTTTCTTCATTGACACACTGATGATCATCTAAAATCTTAGGGTATAAATAATAGGCCTAATGTCCTACAAAGCTGTAATTTGGTATGTGATTGGGTGGCTTGGCTATTTCGCTATACTCGCAGGGGCGTACGGTGAAAATATTAGCCTGTAATAATCATTACTTTTCTGTTATACAATAGTTATTGTAGTAACGAAGCGGCCGAACCACATATATTGGCTTTGTAAATGAAATGACATGTGTGTTGTTATGTAGAGTGTGTGAAGTTACGTCTTTTAGAGTTAGGGCATGTAGAGTTGGAAACTTAGCGCTACATAAGATCTGATAACTTTTTGATCGTGCGAGTCATATGGTCCCATCTCGGCAACATTTTACATCAAAATATGTTTGGTGGATATAAATTACAGAATTATGAGAGATTATGACCTATTTGTTCAAAAACGTTCCTTTTATATTGTAAATGGGTAGAAATAACTTAATTTATGATTGATAATGATGTTTTGACCAAATGAATCAGGCACAGATGAATCATAATTTTGCCTTTTATTATGCTAAACTTATCATACATACAGACTGAAGTATTTTCATTCTTCGACACGAAAGTATAACCCAAAAGTGTCATACGGAACGAAGATTGAAGTTGTAAAACGAGAAAATATTTTTATAAAGCAGGCATTGCCATCGGCATGCCACCCGAACTAAGCACAGATGAATCAGGTATTTACCTTTGTAACACCGAGATCTTAGCTAAACAGGCGCATACGTACATCTTCTAGCTCGTACGATGCACGGCTGGCTTACCCCCGGGCTGGAAGCCAGACCCCCAAAATTATTGCCCGAGCAAGTACGGTCAATCGCGACTAATGCCATATTAATCAGTTTTATAAGGCGGACACTCCCTATTCAATTATGTATAAGCCCATTATGGTGGTTATAACTAATACACATTTTTTTTTGTAAAAGGGCAACCATTTTCCTTTCTATAAAAGTATAATTTATATTGATTTATTACAGGAAAAAACGACCATTTTGTCCTGGAAAAAACTTTTGAACAAAATAACCCGCCGGGAAGTAAAACATAAAAAACCTTTTTTATCTTTAGACAAATTAATATTTGGAGACGGTGCCAGTGCAAGACTAACCCAAGTAGCAAATGGGAACTCGACGAATTAATTTGACTAAAGATAAAAAAGGTTTATTATTTTTTACTTAACGGAGATTTAATTTTTTTGATCAAACGTTTTTCCCAGAGCAAACTGGTCGATGTCGCATTTTCCCAATAATAAATCAATATAAATTATAATTTTATATGAATTTTGAATATAATATAATATTATAAATATATATACATATATATAATTTATTAGAAGAACATACTTCAAATATTTTTATAATGTAACTTGAGCGTAATTATGTATTTCAAAAATATCATATGCCCCAGTTAGGAGGGATAATGCTAAACTGTTAGGTGGTTACAAAATATACCCACAGACATTGAACATGTTGTCTCTGAAGAACTACCCTTACCTTATATCTTAAACCCTGACGTGAATGTATTTTATTAAATGTTGATTTACTATGCAACTTAATTATAATAATTCTTAGACAAAAGACGATCCACGTGCGTTACTGTTAAATAATTGTTACCTACTTAACAAAAATATTCCAGTGAATATGTACTTACTGTAATTTCTTTATTCTTAAGTAATTAGTCGTTGTACTTGCCAATAAATAAAAATAAATTATGGTACTGTCGTTTTATTGAATCACCTAACGTACTTACTTACAACACCAATATCGTTTTAACCAATATCAATGTAACTTAAATAATAATTGATGCCTTCAATCAGAAATATTGAAGCTCTTAGTCAATAGAGGTCAGAAGTTTAGTTCAAGAGGACAGGAACTAGTAACTCAATTGCCAATTAAGCAGTGACTGTGCTGTGGTAACAGGGGACTGTAGAATTTGACAGAAAACCGGGTCGCATACGCTTTGCGGGAGTGAATTTTTATACATTTAATATCTAGTCTTTATTCTGTTCCAAATATCAAAATAATCTGTCGTTGTACAATGTTTGCTATTTTAAGTATGGTAAAATTATCAATTTTGTGAAATATACATAGTGAGTGAAGTGAAAATAACGTGAGAATATGTTGTCGTTTGAAATTGTGATCGCGTACCTAGGTACACTTGTAATTATTTAAAAATGATGTATTATTTATACTTTACTTTAGTTCGTCATAAAAAGCTTAAAATTCAATGAACTATTGTTCCAGTGGCGCCTTATTGAAACTTAGTAGTATTTAGTTGAAGCAAAGTAGAGACTATGCCGAAATGTGATGCACAGGCGTCTTTCGATTTACATTTTGTGATAACTTGATGTGAGGCTGATTGTATACTGAAATATTTGTATAAATTATGTTTGAAACGAATAAACCCTAAAACTGCTGAGCCATTTTCAAAAATTTATTATTACTAAACTTGATCAGCTTTTTGGGTCTATACAGTCCTAATGGAACTGTAATCACTGCGACCCAAAAGATCTATTATGACTCACCAACAAGTTAAAGAATCTCTTTTAGCCCGATCGGTTTCAAGAAGCTCAGAACGTTTCTAACTTTTACAGATTTGATTTTTTGTTACACGTCGTATTATGTGTCGTCCCAGATGAGCACCTACGTTTGTGGAAGAGAGGTCCACAGACACATAGAAGGTGCTTTGGTGTTTCACGCTCCACTCCCCAATCATTAGTGACAGGCTCTATTTTTCCGCATTTAAATTAAGCTAGGGTGGATCACTAGTTACATATATTTAGGAAGGACGATAGCTTCCTTTTCTTTTCCGTCCGAATTCCTGCGTGATCCTTCAGGTATCAGGCTGAAATTGAACTATTTCAATTCCAGCCTTATGCCCGATGGATCACGCTGGAATTCAGACTGATGTCTGATGAAGGTAATTTTTCTCGTTATTCTTTTTAGATACAAAAATGTAGCAGTTAAATACGTAAAATAAGATAAAGAGTCTTTGCCATTGCTTCTTTCTTATATTTAATATCATTTGACATTATACCTAGTTCACTACTTACAATGTGAAGAAATGACAGGCAACTCCAACTGGAAGTAATTCTACAAAAAACTGCTTTACAATTAACGATTTTGTCAAATAAGGCCATATTGATTCAACTTCAGTAGATAAGCAAGCGATCATAGTTTCGTGACCGCATTATCTCTGATTATCAACGCTGTTATACGATAAGAAGAAATACCTAATTATTTAATCCATTAATAGTTTATATTTTTGAAAGGTATATCCGCTATCTATCTTGATTGTAAAGAAAAATATATTCCTAAGACTGACGAAGAACACTTTGAATAACTGATATCGGGCATACTTTGTACATTACAAACTTATTTATTTATTTGATCACCAACATAATAAACATTGACACAACAATCTAGCAGGTAATGATAAAATACTTAAGCTTAATGTTATTACAATTATAGGTGAAGACCACATGCGTTATGGAATAGAAGCAACAAATGCTGGTAAACTGTCGATGAAAAAGTCTTTAAAAGCTTTCTAAGATTAAAAAAAAAATACATATAATCAAATGTCCCGGTTAAAATCAATGCATTATAAGAAGAGTTATAATCGAATAAAGTTATATATATTATAATAAAAAAATGAATCGAAATTAATTAGTCACAATAAATTACAGATAAAATTAATTTATAGAAATAATAACACAATTAAATCAAATTACAATAAAATTAATTAAAAGGAAATGTCACATTAGTTTATTTTTAAAGTTGCGAATGTCACCTTTGATGAGTAATGGACGAGTACTCATCATGAGATGATATTTCTTGAGTAATAGACGCCCTTAAGTTACAGTCTACTATACAAACATAACGTCGGCAATATAGGCATCTCTTTTCTGATCAGAAAGCTTAGTTTTTGTCTTCTATAGTAGACATAAAAAATAGAAGTTCAAAATTTTCTGAATTTGGGTAGCTCGTTAAAATCGGGGCATCACTGTTTGTGGGATCAAAACTTGTGAACATTACCTTAACACAAATTAGGCATTCCATAAAAACTGAGTATCATTAAAATTTCAAATGTATTATAATAATTAACTATGAATTCTGGGCGCTTTAAAATACGTATTGACAAATAAAATAAAGTGTTAATTGCTTAGGTGCAACTGTGTTAAACAGTTCATTGTAATTTTGTTGAATTACAAATACCTGCGTGTCTTTGTTTTACCAATCATCTAGGTCAGTATTGCATCAATGATACATAATTATAACAACATTACTGTCGTTAACACCTACTACAACTAAAACAAACATGTCTGCTAGCAAATAAGACTCAAACTTGATAAGAGGGACATTATTAAAGTCAACCCGATAACAACTCAGTATCCGTTATTAGTCGAAACATATTTCATCACATTTTTAGAACACAGGAGTGTTGCTGACAATCTATATGTCTGGATACTTCACGAGTCAATACTCTCGCAAAAGGTGTACAAACAAAAGGGTTTGCACAGGACGATAATAGTTAAATAATATGGTGCCTATTAGTACTTGTGTGTGAATTTGTGGTGATCAGTGTTTGTCTTTTAAATAACGATAAAAAATTGAGAAATGTGAAACAATTAAATCTTAATTATAGTGAAAAAAATGACAAACAAAGTGACAAAGGTGCCACCTGACGGCGGTTATGGTTGGGTCGTGACTTTCGCGTATGCTTTGAATAATGTGAGTACCAATGTAAAATTTATATTATTTTCTACACAGAATTGTTGGTGTTTTCTCTATATATTATTCTTATCTCTATACCAAAATTCACCAAAATTGATTCAAGTGCTAAGAGTGACAGCGTAACAAACAGACAAATAAACTTTTGAAATTAAATAAATATAGTAATAAAGTATGGGGATATCTGCTAGGATTTCGAACTTGGTCCAAGATGGATTAAGAAATAAAAAATTGCCTTCATACTTGAATTTAGGACATGAGACGTTGTTCATAATGATTCAATTAATATTATAACTAAATAATATCAATTATGGGCTTAATTCGTAGTCTTTATACGTAGACACCAGTCGTTTCATTGCTTCAAAGAATGCATATCTTCTTAAATTTTATAAGCGTCTACGTATATTTTTATTTATTATACTAAATACGTTTGACTTATTAATTAAAATCATAGAGAAATTGCGAATAACATTATAAGAAAATATCATTTGCTTTTTTTCTTACGCATTTCTTCCTATCTCGGTTCTTTTAATACATTAAGATTATTGTCAACTTTTCTTTACAATGAAGAAGCATATATGTTTACTGTTCGGAACAACCTTTTAAGAAATAAAACAATGTGTAGCAAGATAAAGTAATATTTGCAAGTATTTTCGGAATACACAATGCGATACATAAATATATGACGTAACTAAGTACAACGTACCCAAACAGATAAAGTTAATTTATATCTATACTTTTACTCTTTCGACAAGGTTATCAAAAGTTTTACTTTTTTACTGTTAAATACGACGAAGAACATTCATTTTCTCTTCATAATTTCACTACAAGAACACTTGATAGTACCTTTATCTAGATATAAATCTGCTTTGGTTATTTACCCCTCACCACAAAATTCCCTTTGTCGATTCAGGTAGTTGTCCTACCGCTGATAGCTGGCTTTGGATTAGTTTTCCAAGAAGCATTTGACGAAACTGGTCTGACAGCAACACAAGGCACTCTTATCATCACTCTGAACCATGGCATCGGTATGCTGCTGTCTTTCTTCGGAGGTCCAGTGCTGCGAAGATTTGGATATAGAAAAGTTGCTCTATTTGGTGCCGTACTCATTTTCTGTGGGCTTGTGCTGACAGCTGCTGCATCAGATTTCTGGATCTTCATTTTATCATACAGTATTATCAATTGTAAGTACCTCGCTACCTGAAAATTCATATACTACAAACTGTAAATTTTTGATGTTGCCGTTCAATTCGCAACAATCAAAATTAATTGCGTTGGCATAAATATTCCCATTCATAAATTAAATTTAAATCAATTATTCATGCCGTGTTTGCAAGAATTTTCAAATTAAATAATCAGGTGCCAAAAAATCAAAATAAACGAACATCTTTATTTTCAGCAATGGGTGTGGCATCAGTAATGGCAGCTTTCACATTAGCAATTAATTCATTTTTCAAAGAAAAGAGAGGAAGAGCCATTGGTGTTGGAATGTCGATCACAGGACTGGGACAAATATACATGCCCTTAGTGATGAGTGCTCTGATGTACGCCTTTGGGTGGAGATACGCTGTACTCATCCTAGCAGCTCTTTGCTTGCATTCTCTGGTAGCAGCATGTTTGCTCAGACCAGCTAAGTGGTATTATAAAGATCCTCCCGTGATCGAGGAAGAAATACCTCTAAACAAAGACCAAAGTACTGAACTAGTTAATGGTAGTGTAACAACGTCATCTAAACAAACAGGTATACCTATTCTTAAAATGACACTTCAATAATTATTACTAAATAATTTACTTCAAAGAACTTCTAGTCTACTGGAATGTTTTAATAGGCAGGCTTTTTATAGAGTTATATATATTCACTAGCGGCCCGCCCTCGCTTCGCTTCGGTGTAGAGCTGAAGTGTAGTCTACAGTTTTTGTTCTCAGGCTTGTATTATACACAATGACATTCATCTATGATTCTTTTTATACCTGCATGCAAAGTCTCAGCCCGATCGGTTTAAAATTGACAAAGTTTCATACAAACTTTCATTCCCTATTTTATCCCCTTGGGGGTAGAATTGATCAAAATCCTTTCTTAGCGGATGCCTACGCCATAACATCTACCTGCATGCCTTTCAGACCGATTCGTCCAGTGGTTTGGGCTGTGCGTTGATAGATCACTATGTCAGTCAGTCAGTCACCTTTGAGTTTTATACACCGTGTTCCTGAGGTTTTACACTAACTTTGGCATGTTATTCAGACTATTAAATTGATCATTTTTTACTATGGACACTTTTCATGAATTCCAATTTCTTTAACATTTTTTATTTACATACAAACTAAATGCTTAGATGTAATTTATCTAATATGAATTACTCTTTACCTGAGCTGGCAACGTCGCATTTGAAACTTTGGTTCACATGTCCACATAAACTTTTTGAAACTTTTCTTGACGTCAACAATGTTTTTTAAAATTTTGACTTTTGAAACTATGACTTAATGACCATTGACAAAGAGTTGATAGTTTAATAGTTTTGGTTGCACAAAGTTGCAACATCTCACAGATAAGGACTCTTTCTCACTGCACAAGTTGGTTAAACTTAAATTATCAATAACTTAAAAACTATGCTATTTAAACTACCACTTTCCTTGTACGATATGTTTAACAAGAGCTATTGAAGTATAATTTAAAGTTAATATATATCCTCAGAAACACGGTGTATATATAGATTTTAAATTCATATTTTTAAATTACAGGATTACATTCTCAGTTACAACTAGAAGAATCCGTAGGAAACGGAATACCACCAAAAAGTTTATCAATGAGATCTCTTTCAAGTAATACTAGTTTACAGACCAGAAATGCTGTATCACACCCAGATATTAGGAAAAAATCTCCCGAGTCACCACTCCACGAGGCTCGATACAAATGGTGGGAATCTCAGGAAATTAATTTGGGTAGTTCCTTCAACATATTCAGTGAACATGAAATGAAAAAAGGTGATGTTAAAAGTAAAGAGGTAATGATAAATGAAAAATCTAAAGAAATAAAGCAAGAAGAAGGATTGATGCAAAAATTTATTAAATTCTTCGATCTAACTTTGCTCCGCGATCCGATTTTCGTGAATATATTGATTGGCATGTCGGTAGCCGCTTGTGTGGAGACCAATTTTTCTTTGTTGCTACCTATAATTCTGAAGGATATGTTGAAGTTTGAAACTAGTGAGATTGGAAAAGTGATGGCTGTAATAGGTTTTTCAGACACGCTGTTTCGTTTAGTTTCACCATTCATTGGGGAATGGTGTCAGAAGCCACCTCGAGTCATGTATATGATAGGCTTGGTTCTCATCGTCCTCACAAGAACAAGTAAGTTTTGAATATTGGTACAATTTAATAACTCAGAAAATTCATGACGTTTTTTAATAAACATAAATATTTGCGTTAACCATAAAACATATGTAACTAATTTAAGTAGAGTAACTATATCATATTAAAACTTGTTCGATAATCATGCTCTTAATAAATAAAGATAGATATAAGAATAGATAAAGATAGGAAATTTATCATTTATTTCAATAAAGAAGAAGAAACATGACATTTTCAAGGAATGTCGAGAACAAAAAGAATAGGAATATAAGTTATTTACGGGATTGTTACCATGTACCTTGTTTTTAGCGAGTTTCCGATATTTCGGCGCTGTTGCAAGCGCCATGATCACGGACCAAGCTGTGCATCATTGTTTGTCGACGATTTTTTTCATATATCAGGGTCAGTACTACTTCCAAATAGATGGGGTCGCAATGGGCAGTCCCGTGGCTCCAGTAATTGCCAATATATGGATGGAGCATTTTGAAGAAAAAGCCTTTATCACCGCACCCATAGAAATAAAACTATGGAAGAGGTATGTCGATGACGTATTCTGTATATTAAGAGGTAACAAACATGATGTCGAGTCTCACTTGGCAAATTTAAATGGTATCCATTCTAAAATCAACTTTACCTATGAGATGGAAGAAGACAGAAGTCTGGCCTTTCTGGACGTGAAGATTCGGGTAAGGAATGACGGTTCGCTTGGTCATTCCATTTACCGCAAACCTACACACACTGATCGCTATCTCAAGGCCTCCTCGCATCACCACCCTAAACATCTTAACTCTGTAGTGACTTCACTGACGAACCGTGCATATGACCTGTATGATGAGGAACATCTTCAAGAAGAGTTGGATCATGTACGACGTGTCTTACAGAGTAATGGATACCAGGGACATTTTTTATCTAGACACAAACTAAAACACCAGAGACACAGAGTAGACTGACAACCTGTTTATTTGCCATACGTCAAAGGAGTGACTGACAAGATCTCAATCATACTGAATAAGTACTCACTAAACACTGTCTTCACTCCTGAGCGAAAGGTTTCACAATACCTACGGTCTCCTAAAGACAACTTCCCCTTGGAGAAACCTGGTGTCTATATGATCGATTGCAGTTGTGGCAGTTCGTACATTGGCCAAACAAAGCGAACAGTATCATGCCGAATGAGGGAACACATAAAAGCAATCAAGAACAACAATACGCAGAAATCAGCTATCGCGGAACATTTGATTGATTCTGGTCCTAACCACTGGATTAAGTTTCATAACCCACAGATTATCTCGACAGAACGCCACTACATACCAAGATTGGTCAGGGAAGCGGTTGAAATAACAAAACATAAAAATTTCAATCGTGAGGACGGGTTTAAATTGTCGAGTGTCTGGAATCCCGTGGTTCGTATGTGTAAAACGGAAAATAATCAAAAAAGTGTCGTGTCGCGTTCCGATACTGTAAGTGTTGTGTGTCAAGAACAGTTTCGAGTGAATAATGAGAATGTGAACAGTGGTACGGGTATCAAACGCAATAAAAGACTTCGTCGGAGGGTAGATCGATATGTCTGCCAATAACAGCCTACCCGTGTTACTCCGTGATCATGGCGCTTGCAACAGTGCCGAAATATCGGAAACTCGCTAAACACAAGGTACATGGTAACAATCCCGTAAATAACTTATATTACTATAATGTTAGTGACCATGAAAGTTTCAAACAATATAAAAAGAATAGGAATTTTTCATGCTTACTGTTTCATGTCAATTGACCAAACGCCCGGTTATTATGATAATGTCGCGTTGTTTGTGTCAATATAACTATAGCAGAATCTGACAATTATAACTGTACATCATATCTTTCTGGGACATAACATAAATTGTAGACTGAGCGTAGATAATAATTAGTATTGTATTTCAGTAAATTTGATATTATAGATATAAGTATCTATATTATAGGAAATACAATACATTAATAAGAAAAGAGTCCTACGTGCATCTGCTTACCAGATGAAAACTATGCTTTATTAAGTTTTTTTTTTTAATTAAACAAATCGCAATGACTTTGTCTATAAAAATTGTTCATAACTATTTTTAATTTAATAAACTTTGAGTAAAATTATTGTTCTTGTTTGGCTCACGTGTTTACCGGATAATTTTATTACAAATCAAAAATATGCTAGGTAAGGAATATGCAAAAAGTAGTGTTGCCGTGTTTTTCTGTTCACTACTACCAGGCAAGTAGTTGTGAACAGGTAACTTGATTAGTGATTGCACCGACCTGGTTACAAATCAAAATGTACATTATTTTTTTTGTAACAAACACGATAGTATAGTATTGCATTGCATTGTTCATAAGATACTATTGCCTGGTTTTGAAAACAGTTTGTCAACTATTTGAATTCATATTTTTTTTTAATTAAATTTAATGAACTTTAGTGCAAGTGGGCCTTATTTTGACATTCAATATATCGTGGTCGGCTTTGTCATCCATCCTTCTCAAACTTACATTACATTACTGACACGACACGCCGAAGTTAATGATACGTTAAATGTTGATTTTCGCTAAGTGCAGATGGAAGCGCGTCTTCAACCATAAAGGAGAATGGTCATTTTACTTTGGGAGTTGGGCTAAGTTTTTTTCATTGCGTCTTATTGGAATAAGTGTACAACAATAGGGAATCAGGTGTATATTACGTAGGAAAAATATCATTAGAAACTTAAGTAGTGGTTTAAAGAAAATATTAAATTACGTAAGCATTTTAAGGTTATGTCATATTTAGATTCGATTAAATTCGATATTTATACCATACTTAATTATTACTAGGTATACTACTTTAAACTGTATTTAATTAGGTTGTGACCTTTTGTCTTCTATTTTGGACTGGGAGTGAAACAAAAATTGAATGCACTTCGTAAAATCTTATCAACGGGCAGCGTATATTTGTAAACTGTTGCGTTGGTGAGCTGCTATCTATCTCTATTTATTCCAAACATCTCAGATTCAATAAATGTGGCGTTGTTGAGGTGCGGTTATATTAGTGCTATTTATACTTATTCTCTTTACGCTCAAGCTGCACCTTTGATGCTCTGTTAACCCAACAATGGATCTAATATTATTTAAGGTTTAGGAATCAAAAATAAATAAGACAAAATATTTTAATAATGATAATCATTTATTGATAACACATTTATCCAAATCGACATTATTAATGTGATATTTTTATTTTATATTTTTGAGGTTATGCCGTATCCAGTGGAACTGTAGTGACTTCGCCTAAAATATCTTTTGTAACTCGCCACCATGTCCTGTTGAGTTTGAAATATCCAGTTAAAGCTCTGCTAAGTTCAATTAACACAGCAGTTTATACATTAAGCGTGCTCTAATCCTGGTTTATATATTGCCTTTTTTTAAAAAAGAATTGACTTATATACCTTCTTCAAATACCTCATCTAAAAATGTAGCTGGAGCATGTGTATCGTTAAATCGCCCCCAGCTAAGGTACCAAACTACCGTCATTACGTGTGCGCAACATCCTACTGTCCTTTTGCCTACAATACAACTGCAGCAATAGCCAACTAAACAACTTAGTGAGTTGGCTATATTGGTGTCACGGCTGACTAAAATGTAAACAAAATAGGTGCGTCCACCAACGTGTCTAGACTTAATACGTCCTCTAAGCAGATAATTGTTTAAACCTAATACAAGGGGAACATCTTCATCTATTTCAGTATTTATTTCTATGGAATATATCCCAGACGATCGAATATGTTCCCCATAATATGATCGCGCCTGCTTTAACTGATAAGTGCCTAATGCAAAGCGTTTTAAATCAGTGATGCTTAAACTGGGAAAGGTTTCCAAGTGAGGATGATTGCCATCAATTGCAGAAAACATTGCACGTCTTCTGTTAAGATTTTGAGTTTCTACAAACTCGGCCAAATGATTGGACTCATTAAGCCGATTTTGAGCAATAGCTACATACTCGCTTGCTTCTGGAGGATCCTGTATTAAGGGATGAAACTTATTTAACAGAGCACATGCAATTCTTAAATCATCTTTTAAATGAGTTGCAGCTCTGTTATTAAATACATGCCTGAACAATCTAAAATCTCGTTTTATACGTCCATTTACTATTTCAACCACCCAGCGACACATTGTTACAAATCTAGATTTGTTAGCCTGAAGGGTAGTGAGTTGATGTTCACCATCTAATAATGATTCAGGCATGTAAGCTTTAAAACCAAGATCCTCCATAAATTCAATTACGTCCCGAAACCCCCTATCCAGAATAAAAACATCATCCTGCCGGAAAAATGAACGCAGTTTTCCTTCTTCATTATTTAAATCATGCCTTGTTATTGAAGCATCATTAGTGGTTGCTTTATAGGGACCCATACAATCTATAATATATCTATCACAACACACAACCATAAAAGGTTTAACTAAATTATCAGATTTTTGTAAACTATATGATTCTTTTTGAAAACGATAATTGCTGCTGCTCTGGACAAATATATAAGTTGCGTCACACATAACAATAGCGGGTTTAATATCATTTGGTAAGATTGGATTACCAAACAATCCCTCCGGGATTATTTTATTTCTGCTGGCCACTTGCTCCACATTTACATGACCAAAGCCCAAATGTCTTGACACAAAATCTTCAATTGAACAACTTCTAGCTATATTCATTTTTCTCTCCAAGGTCCTACGAGACATTTGAAAGAGGGAACTTAATCGTTCATTGCTGTCCCCAGTTCTTAACTTGACTATGTAAATACAGAGTGCTAAACGGGGATTTTTGACACTCTGTAATAAGCTTGGTACACATGCCAAGAGTTCATCAAACTGTTCAGCATTCATTCCCAGCCAATAATGGCATAAGAAAGGAGCCATTGCAGAAATATTTTCAAAGTCGAAACAATGGGAAACTGCTCTCTGCATTATATTCAAAATGGCATCAAACTGTACACCAGTAAAATCTTGCAGATTTGATGTTA